TTACGTTGTATTAATTTAAAATTAGTACAAATATGTAAGTAATTAATTTGTGTTTAATTAAATGAATTTAAAAGGGGAATTTTAATAATTAGTGCTATTTTTGGGTGAACCAATGAATTTTGGTTGATTGGTCACATGATTTAGCTTCGGGTTTGAGGGAGAAAACAGAAAAGAATTTATTTTTTTAAAGTTTTTTAGAAAAAATCTTTATTCAGTTTTCCTTTGATAATTTAGTAAGTTTTTATCCGTTTTTTATAAAATTTGTATGTGTGTAAAGCTAAAAATGAGCTGGACAAAACTCTTTTAGTGACCAAGAGTTGTTGTCTTAGTAAAATTCGGAGATAATATTAAAATTGCTATATTAGCTACTTAAGTAAATATCTTTGCAAATTTAGATCCAAAAGATATAAAATTAGGTTTTACCGAAGCAGAATTTTTTGTAGAACAATTTTGCTTAGTAGCCTAAAGGTGGTTTACTTAGTAAAATATTTAGTTATGAACAAATGTTTTTGGGAAGTTTTGGTACAAGTGATCTATGGGAAGAGTTAGTGATTTGCATCTTGCGGTCTGAGTTTCAATAAGTTGTGTAATACTAGTCTCTGTGTATAATATGTTACTAGTTTCAGGAGAGAGAGCACGAGTATTTGGTATAGTTGTTGTAGGCGTAGTGTTGATGAGTACAGCTGTATCATATGGTATAATAAGAAGTGCAGAGTTTTGTTTGTATGCGTTAATTTCAAAGTAGCAGTTTTTTGTATTTTGATATATTTGAATAAGTAATAATGATTAGGTTATATTAGTTGTAATATTAATGACAGTAATATTAATTGCATTGTTGGATAATTTGGTAAGAGTAAAAAGTAAAGCAAAGTCACTGTTAGGAGTTGTATTAATCCAATATTTTGGATGAAGAGTAACATTTTCAATGACAGTTGTTTTGTAGCATTCTATGGTATAAAGTTGTTGTTCGTTTGAAGAGGGTATACTAAAAGTGATTTTGTAAGTAAGGTTAGTTGTGTTAATAGTAGTTAGGTCAAGAATTTCTTTTTGATATTTGTGTTGAGTTTGTATATTTTCAGTATTAGACGTAGTTATTGACATTGTTGTAGTATTAGGATCGCGAGTATTGTTGTTATTATTGTTGTCATTATTGTTTGTTGTATTAGTAGAGTTGGAGGAAGTCACTGTAGTAATATTTTTGAAGAGGCAACGCCTCTTCTCAGTTTTTTTTGTATCTTTAGGCATGGTGAATTTGTTGTTAGTTATTTGTATTGTTGGTTTGTTGAAAGAAATTAACTTCTTTTTATTTAGAATCCTTCCTGAAGGAAGGTTTTTTTTGTTTTGTATTTTTCTTTTATTTTCTATTTTGCGCAGTATTGTTGTAGTGAGTTACAGGAAAGAGTTTTTTTTAAAGTTTTTTTTTCACATCAGATTAGACTTCTATATTTTTGAATATTTTATAAAACAAATCTTTTTAAATCTAATTAGTACTAAGCCAAGTTGGTATTGCTATTTCTTCATATAATAGACTTACTTGTATCTGCTCAATCTACATCTTTTGTATACAAACTTCTTTATTAGATTAAACATTAACTAGTATAACTATTGAAATCTGTACTATATCTAATTTAGAATTTCTACTATACAGATCTTTTGCTTATAGATCTTATTAAGATTTATTCATACAAAATTATATTATACTTCTAATATTTAATTAACCTTGATACAATATAAGTTACAAGATTACAACTTCAGAAATAAACAAGATTTACTATAAGTTAGATACAAAGATCTGTATAATTATTTAAATTTATTAACAGTAGAATTTGAATCCTAAACCTCTTATATAGCAGTCTAATAACCTAACCACTATATTAAGATTATCAGATTTTTTTTAAAAGAGTTTAAATTCAGACTCTGTAAAAAATAAAAAATTACAAATACAAATCAAAAACTAAAATTTGCATTACTAGAATTGAATACTAAAAACAAGCTTTTTTAAAAAAAAACTACTTATTTATAGTTTAACAAACAATAGCTTAATAGTAGAAATTAAAGAAATACTAGAATTAGAATCTAAAGCTAATAAAGCTATTTGCTAGTTTACAAAGATTTTCTAGTCTTTCTATGACTATAATTGTATTTATTGATTTTTTATTTGCAATTTCATATAAACCTTTATATTTATTTTTAATATATTTTCAAATTTCAAAATCATTTTTGAACTTATCTTTTGTTACTCTAAAGAGTTGTTCTACTTTATTAAATTTTTTTCTTTTTTTAAATCTTTTATTTTTTTAGTTGTAATTTCTTCATAAAGTTTAAAAGCCGATTCGTTATAACTAATTTTCTTATAGCAATAAGCTACAATTATTTTTATATTTCTGTAGTAATCAAGAATTTTTTTAGCAATGTCTAGTATTTTTTATACTTTTTATAATACAATAAAATATAATACTTGGCTTCAATTTCGAATAAGTTTTTTTAATCTCTAAATAACTATTTAAATTATTTAAATTATTTCTATATTTTAAATTGTTTACTTTCTTTTTAAATTCTTCTTGAATTTTTTATAGTTCTATAATAAATAATTTATTAAATTTAATATGTTTATATAATAAAACATGCAGAAGTGTTATTTTGAATTTTGACCTCAATTCAGGCTATTATTACTCAATAAAGACCCTGACGTAATCTCATAGCAAAAGGGATGAGCCAAAAACTTAGCTATTTTATAATTTTATTTCAAACAATCTAATTCTTCAAGATATTAATTTTTTTTTGGCCCATAACCTGTTTGCTGTGAGAAACCCCAATTTGCTCGTGCTTATATGGATATCAATATATTGAAAATACTTTGGCTGACATAGTTTAAGTTATTAGTGTTTACTTAAATTATCAACAATTTTATACAAAATATCCGACTTCTTATCATACTAATAACTTAATTGAAAAATTTTGAATTAATTATATGTAGTATTTATTTTTTGTTATTAAGAAAGATATTAATTAGATTTAATGATCAAAAATTATTTAATTTAGTGATGCTAATTAGCATTAACATTTAAAGAGTAAAAAAAAAATATAGAATTTTGAATAATTGAATAATTTTAGCTATTACATGTATTGAATTTAATGATAAAAATTAAAAATTCAAATATCATCCATTACATTAAAAAAAATATTATTCAAAAAAGACAATTATGAAAATGCAATATTTGCAAATTGAACAAAAGTTCTTTAATATTGTTAAATCTTTTAATTATGAATAGGAAATTGGTATCTATATTTAATAACAAGTTTTACTTTCTTAAAACCATATAAAAAAGCCTTGTTTCTGAATTTTAATGTATTCAAAAATGCAATACGTATCGCATTATTAATAAAAAATCTTATCTGTTGTGTTTAATTTTAAAACTTTAACAATTAAAATCTTATATTTCGTGTTGGTAGCCAGACTGGCGTTGACAGAATCTTTCAAGATGAATTCTTTAAGTTTTCAAAAGATTAAAAAAAAAAAAAGTAATTGATTAATAATCAAGAATTCATTGTGTATATAACCAATATGATTCATTTTGTTCTTACCGGTTTCTGTCCAAAAGGTAAAAAATGTGAAGATGGAACTATCGATAATAAGTATCCAATGGTAGAATTAAGATAACGGTGACTATTCTTATAAAACCGATAAAAATGTTGAATTTTCAGATAGTGTGTTGATTATTCAACGAATGATACTAAATGCAACAATTAAGAATCGCTTATTGTTAGTCCCATCTCTAACTGCAAAGTGAATTAGCAACAAATTTACTAACAAATTTTACTTTTTGTTTCCATAAAACTACATGAAAAACTTAGTATTGCAAAAAAAAAAACATGAATTTTGAAACAATCCATAATTGTTTTTTCTAGTATCAATCTATCAAATAAACTTTTACTCGAAAGTTTTCTTGTATTTTAACTTACAAATGGACTGAGTACTGAGAAAAGGGACCAAATTAGTAAAAATAAATTTTGTAGAAAAATAGACTTTATATTATAAAATCTATATTTAAATCATAAGAAAGCACAAACTTTAGAAGCTATACTGCAAAATTTTTTATTATATTTCGAATTAGTTAAACTTAAAAATAGATTTGAAAACAATTATCAATTTGGTCCTAAATATAGAATCCAAATTTAAAAAAAATTTTTTATTTTCATAAAATTCCGTTAAAGAAATATGCAATTTTTACGATGGTTACGCTAATATCTCTTAACGATAATGATTTTTAATAAATATATTCATAACGATAACTGTATTTTAAAATTTATATAACGATATGTCATACTTTTTGTATTACAGATTTAATAATAATTAGAAAGCGTAAATTTATAAAGATCAAAAAATCAATTGATTAAAGAAACAAGTTTATATATAACTAAATCTGTAACCTAAAGAAATTTTTTTGTTAATTTAATGCCTATTTTTTTTAATTAATTATATAACATAAAAATAATGAATTATATATCGTAGAATGTTGAGCATGAATTTTTATTAACATTATTGTTTTTTTTTTAATGCTATAACATGTAAAAACGAAGTATTTATAGGTGAAGAAATGTTGGAAATGTAGATTATTTGCCTTTTTTTTTAAAAAAAAAGTAAAGTAATATTTAAAAAAGAATTTCAGATTTGCCATGAATAAAAAATAAATCTAATATATATTTTTTTACATGAATGTCTTCAAAAAAAAAAAAAAAATAAGCAAACTCATCGTTTGCAACTATACAAAAGAAGAAGAAGAAAAAAAAAATATTACAAGAGAAGATTTTGTACAACGGGATTAAAAGTGAGTTTTCTTCGTAAAAAAAAAAAAAAAAGACGGCGTTTCGAATTTTGCACTCCGTTGGTGCGAGGTGACGCGCGTCAGAATTACGAATTTTTACTCACAAAAATAAGGAGAGATAACGAAATGACGAGATTTATCGATAAAGAGGTGAGAAATAAAACATATGTTTTATTACGAAATTACACAACCTCTTTCAAACCACCATTGTTCTCTTAATTGGTCGATCCAATTAACAATCATCTTCATTCTTTCTCTAACGGATCTTTCTTCCAATAATCTATATTTTTCATTTTCATCAATAGGAATGACCGAAGCAACCCAAAAAGAAAAATCCGAAGGATCATCAGGCATATCACCATATGTTGAGTTTAGACGTTGTAATAACCATGGAGCGTAACCATTTCTAAGTGATTCAATAAATTCACGAGCTTTTCCGATAAGTTCAGATATAGTATGTTCATAAATTATAGGTTTAGAAGGATCTCTATTATTAATCTCAGCAGCTCTTACAGCGGCTTGTTCTCTAGTCAATTCTTCTTCAGGACTAATATCATCTATTCGTTCAATTTTTCCAACATCATAACCATCTTTCATACCTCTTTCAATAACTTTAAATCTAAAAGTACCAACAGTTTCAACTAATGAACGACCATCATTCATAAATTCAGTGGAACGAATTTCCAGCATAGTTCCATAATCTACATAACTATTCCCATTCCTTAAAACCATACCAAATTGTCTTTGACGAGAATCTAAACATCTTCTTATCATTAACCTATATTTAGGTTCATAAATATGAAGAAAGCAAGGCATATTTGGGAATACTAAAGAAGTAACAAAAATAGGAGTATCTTGAGTATCATCATTAAGTTCATTTTGAGCCAATTGCCTACGATCAGCAAGTAAAGAAGGGTATAATTGAGAAATAAAAATATTAACAGTCTTATTTATAGGTTGATTTAAAATAGAATTATAATTATGAAGTTGATGTCTACATAATGGACATCTATCATTATGATCTAAAGATCTAGTTAAACAAGGTTTACAATAAGTATGACCACAAGGAGTTGTTATAGGATCCATAAAAAGTTGATAACAAACTTGACATTCTAATTCTTTTAATAAAAGTTCTTTAAGATGAGTTAAATCAAGTGGATTAGAAAAATCATCATCACCCACAGAATAATCACTTAAACAATCATCATTACTATTATAATCATCACTAGCATAATCTTCGATAACATTACTTTCTAATAAACAATCATCATCATCTACAATATCATATAAATTATTTAAACGATATTGATATTGTAATTGTCGTCTTGGTTGAGAAACATGTGGAATGAAATCTGATAATTCTCTACGACATAAATCTGTTAACTTGCATACAGTTACATCAGATCTTGTATCAATTCCATGAAGACGATTACATCCTATAACAGGGCACTCAAATCGTTTATTATTAGCAGATGTTGAAAGACATCTACTACAAAAAGTATTTCCACAAGGAAGAGTGACAGGGTCGTTAAAGAGATTTCCACATGATGGACAACTAAGTAATCGAATAATCATGTAAGCATCTACTTCCGGGTCGTAATCATGATTTTCTGCAGAGGTTGAAGGGTATTGTTCGTCATCAACAGAATTTAGCAAAGCCACGATATTCATTTTAAAAGAATTAATAAAAAGAAAAACTCCAGATTTTGGTATTATTTATAAAAGGATAATGTTTTTTAAAATAAATGGTTTTTTCGTTTAGAGTAATTGTGAGATAAATTTTTTCGTTTAGATGGGAATAATCTTCTCAAAAGACTTGTAAGACTTGTGAAGAAAAAAAAATAAATAAATAAATATTATTATTATTATTATTATTATTATTATTATTAAACAGATTGATTGTATTGATTATTTGAAATTAATATTTCGTTTTTTTTAATATAATACAACTATTCAAATTTTATCTTTTTTACGATGAAAGAAAAAAAGTGGTTTTTTTTTTAATAATTTTTTTTATTTTTTTGCACTTCTTTCAAGACCCCGTGTATTTATACAATTCAAGCAATAGAAATACATAATTTTTATATTATAAAAATCGCTGACCTAAAATTCTATAAATTACATAATATTAATTGTCTGAATTTATTTATTTATTTATTTATTTATTTTGGCTGTTGAAGTCCAGACAATTTTCTATCATATCACCGACAACGCAACGATCTTCATTACATAATATATATATATTTGTAACCGGAGTCTACATTATATACTATTATATTAGTATTTTTAAATACTTTTATATTGCGACACAAAAAAAAAAAAAAATTTGAATTCACTGGATTTCAAGTTCTCTGGATAATTCTTCGGTAATCACCTTTTGATCGTCGATAAATAATAATAATAACGATAATAATAATAATAATAATAATAATAATAATAATAATAATAATAATAATAATAATAATAATAATAATAATAATATTTTTCTTATTCATTTTATTCATCGCTAGTTATCATCTAGTAGTCTTGAAATTATTCAATTTGCAAGATGTGATATCCTTATCCTTTATTTTTATTCTTAGAATAATGACCGATATAGTCAGTACACAGGTAACTGGATTAATCGAGACCTACCCTTTTCGTTTCGTTCATATAAAGAGCCATAGAGGTGCAGAACGCATCAATGTAACGACTGTTTGAAGAAGAGACATATCACGTTATTTATGAAAGGAAATGACATTTCGGAATCCGAAAAGTACATTATGCATGTATTCGTTTTGGAGCTTATTTATATAATCGGACTATTATCGCTATGCTACTGCTATGCTAGTAATTTTATGTAATCACTCATTTTTTTTTGGTTGGTCTTGTGAAGAGATAAAAATGACAGGAATCGAGCACAAAAGTGATTACTGATAACGATAACCCACTAATTTTTGATAATGTTATCTTATCACTAGTTCTGGATCGTGTTAATACATTATCATCGATTTATAGAAGGTTTGCTTCAATTGTTATGTTGAACCAATGTAGTGAGTCATTTACAAATAACTCAATCTGGAACCAAGTTGTTTGGGGAATTTTGTTTACTTTTTTTTTTTTTTTTTTTTTGCACGGAATAATGTTTAAGTTAATCATATATAAAATCTACAAATAGTTTCGTGGATAACGGAATATGCTTTTTTTAGATTATTCGTTCAATCAAGTTAATGAACTTTAATATCTTCTAATCATGAATATAACACGATGATTTCAAGAACAAAAGGTTGCTTTGCCTGTTGATTATTTGAGGATTTTCAAAAAATTCAGGAATTATCTTTGCTTACATTATAATGATTATAATTGATTACGTACAATACGATTTTTTCCAAATAACTTTAAATTTTTTTTTTTTTTTTTTTTCACAAGATTAACAATGCAAAATAGAAAAATTTTGATAGATATTTCCCTAAAGAATGATGAAAGTAATAAAGTTAGTTATATTCCAATAAAAATCAGTCACACGGTTCATTAATTACACCAAATAATAATTTCATGGCTGAATGCAAATATTTATTTGTTTTTTTCATGCATTTGTTCATACGCCCAATGGCCACATGTGCATGTTATGTATAGATCTCGAATCGTCTGGACACACGATCTAGGTCTCTTGGAGTTGAGTGATTATCACGAAGATCATTTTTTTTACCTGCTTAACAATCAAAATCCAATACTTTTTTTAGACATCTTGTGATTTGTTAAATTATTTACCCAACTAGGGATTTTAATGTGATCATTGTCTTTTTGGTTCTTTCCGGATCCTCAAATATAACTTTTTTTGTTTACTACGTACTCCTGTATATCCCATGAAATATTCAAGTTATTGAAATTTTTTTTGTTAACTGTTAACAAGAATAATTATTAATGTTTGCGTACGTATTAACTATTAATATCTGATATCGAATATGTTAATAACTGTTAACATTAAGCGAAATGAAATATGCGAAATATTCTTTTTTTTTGTAACACCATAAAATAATATTTATTATTATTATTATTATTATTGTATCATATTATGATTATATATTACCAATAGAAATCAAGTAAATTTTTTCCAAGTTTTTTTTAAAACTTTAACAAAAACTTAATAAAAAATTTTTAAATTAAATTTGATACGTATAGAGTTATTGTTGTTTAAAGTTTCAAAAAAAACGATTTGCTTGATTTCTATTGACTCACCCCATATATTGATATTATTATTATTATTAATTTTTTATTATTAACGTTACTATTATTATAATTATTATTAAGTTACTATTATTATAATTATTACATTATTACTATTATTAAAATCGGCCAAGGTAAAAAAAAAAAAAAAAAAAACTATTATTAACTTATTTCATCAAAATTTCTTTGTAAATTTTATGTAGTTCATTACCTATTTTTGACACATCAAAATGCAACTTAAAAAAAGTTTGTGACTTAAAAAAAAAAAAATTTATTCGATTAAATACCTCGAAATAAATTTAAGTCGATACTTACTACTAAAAGTTCGATTTATGCAGATTTTATTCCTAAATATCTAGGTTTATAAAAAAAAAAAAAAATGTTTGAAGCAAATGATCGATTGTTGAGGTAACAATCACAGATTGTTGAGGTAACAATCACCCTATTGCTTTATTGGATCACCTGATTTTTTTATAATATTAACTGTATAACCGATATAATTGTAACAGTACTCTAACTACTCTAACTGTATAACTGTAAATTCATTAGAACGTCATCAAATAATCACTTGATCGATCATCACACAATTTTTTTTTTTGTTCATATAAATATAAGCCGCAGCCGATTTAAATAAAATTGAATTTTTTTTTCCCACACAACTTTTGATATATTTCATAAATTTTTCTCAATCCAATTTACTGCTAAAAAAATTTTTCTGATCCCTTCACAAAACGTAAAAGATTCACTGACGGACGACGCCACAAATTAAAAAAAAAAAAAAAAAAATATAATTATCTTTTTCAAGTTAAAAAAAATAAATGGATAATGACGCAGTTGATACGACAAGTATTAGAGAAGGTATCTTATTTTATAAAGATGAAGATGGTAACACAGGTTATTATTGGGACTCTGAAGTTGGAATATGTGCACCTTCTTTATTACCATCTGAATCAGAATTATGGAAAGATGAAGAAATATCAGGTGATACGCCAGATCTTGATGCGATAAATTATCAAAGAATTGCTCAAAGAATGAATCGAGAACGTAAAGAAAAACAAAATAATAATAATAATATTTCACAAAAAGAGAAATATAATAATAATAATAATAATAATAATAACAATAACAATATTATTAATAATAATAATAAGAAAAATCGTAATAATAAGCATAAAAATAACAAGAATAATAATAACCGTAATAATAATAGTAATAATAACAATAATATTATTACAACTACAATTAAGAATGAAATTACGGAATCTCTTGTCGAACCTGTTGAAAGAATGTCACTTTATCCGTCTATTATTCCTGAAAGTCCATCATCGACACTTATTGAACCCGTTCGGAGTTTATCATTGAATGATCCATCTTTAAATGATAATGATCAGGAATCATCAAATTATTATGATAATAACAATTTTAATCTTTATCGTCAAGAATCATATTTATTAACAGATTTTTTCTCTGATTCACATGATGAATCTTTCGAAGATGATCGAGGTTATTCAGGAGGTGGTAATTTAAATAATGATTCAGACGAAGTTATAAATGATATAACTATGGAAGAAAGTAAAGAAGAAATCGAAACACCGTCACTAACGTCTACATGTGATCCAGAAAGTGATTATCCTGAAATGGAAGAATATTTGCAACAATCGGAGGAATTTGCCTGGGAATATTTACGACATTTTGTGGGACATGAATTTCAAGATGAGGCAGGATTAGATTACGGTGAAAAACCTGAAGACAAAATTTGGGATGATGATGAAGGCATGGATCCGTTAGAAAATCAATAGATGTGAGTGGTGCGTCTATCGCTATTTCGGGATTTAAAATAATTGGAACTTGTGCAATATATATATATATGTCGTACTTTTATATATATAATATATAATCTGCTTGATGCTTCTATGACATCACCATCATATGTAACAATCACAAAATCATTCACACAATGGTGATTTTAAAATTTTAATTAAATAATGTACAATGGTGATTTTGAAAATTTAATTAATAATGATACGTAATAATAAATTATACGTATCTTGATACCATTGTGTTCGATTATTATTATTATTGTTTAAATGTTAGTATTATGTCCTTTACCTAGGTTGTTCCTTAAGTAATTTACCAAAGTTTTTAAATTTCTTTATTTTACTTGGATTCTTAAATATTGAAAATGAATTAAAATTTTCTTTTCATTTAACGTGCTCTAATCACCAAAGATTGGATTGAAAAAAGCCATTTATTTACAAGGCACTTATCACATTCAGTTTTTTTTTTTTGGGTATAGTGTACAGTTAAGATTTTTTAATAACAAATAGATCACCAACGATGATTGTTAAATAAAATGGTGCATATTAACACAAATTAACGTTAAATTAATTGTCATAAAATTGATTCATTTGTACTACATATAGTGATGAATAAAATTTTTGAAATAAAAATCTAGAACGAACTATTAAAATTTCGTAATCAAGAACCAGTTTTTATGTCGGTGAACCTGTGATATATATATATATATATATTCTTTTTTAAATAGTTGCATTTTATTTTTTTTTGGCTTGAGCCCAGAATGGTTTTATAAGATCTGATTTGTTTTTTTTTTTTTTGAAAAAAAAAAAAAAATAATCTTATATGTATTGATTTGTACATGCGTACTTTATTGTTACGTACGATACATCAAAATATCACGTCCTTTTTATATATACGATACATCAAAATATCACGTCCTTTATATATATATATACGATACCTTACGGAAATACTTTTATTCAAGATACCATATCGGGATATTACATGATTTAGGCTCTGCCTGGATCGTATGTGGCGTTCACGGCAGGGTTCTAGAACCTTATTGAAAAAGAATGAATTGTGCATGTGTCAACAAACATTGTAGTATATCAAAAAGAAATTATTATATAAACTAAATAAAATTAGTTGGATAATCATATACACAATTTTGTTTGACAAGTAAAACCTTTGTAACGTATAAATAAATAAATAAATATATATATATATACTGTGTATATGCGTTTAAAAAAAGACGTGTAAAAAAAATCATTTATTGGTTAAATATATAATTATTTTGAATTATATAATATTATATCAATTAAATGAATTGAAAAAAAACATGTGGAATTAACAAAAAGAGATTTGTTTAGGATCAAGTAACACGGACCACCTGAAACACGTTTATATCAATTTATTTATATTAATATTTATATATATAATGTTAAAAAATTATACTCGGCCATAACTTTTGAATTCTTTGTATATTAATAAATTAATAGCATTGAAAGAGATTAAAAGAAATTGAAAGAAATTGAAAGAGATTGAAAGCGAGAATAAAATAATAAGTTATGTTTAAAAACAACCACACGTAGTAATTAGATTGACCTGTCAAAATGTATTCATAATTTCTCGGACATAATTCAAAAGAAAAAAAGATTTAATATCAAATAAAAAAGGAAAATTTTGAGTTATTTACATATTATTCATAGTATTTTTATCGACAATATTATGAATAATACTTCATGTGTTATCATGGACAAAATATCAAGAAAACACAAAAAAGGATCATATTTATTTGTCATCATATTCAAATATAGTTAAATGAATGTAATATTCCATGGAATCGGAAAATTTTTAAAATGCGATTACCCGCGTTGATATATTGTGTTCATATATAACAAGTTTTTTTTTTTTTTTAAAGTTAAAATATATTCGGAAAAGTAATACTATTATCATTACTGGCATTTGGAGTTTATAGAGATCCAAGAAAATATGCAGACAATTATTATCGGTATACAGATATTTTTGTTTTATTAATTACTGATTTGGAAGTATCATGTATTTTTTATGGCCAAAATCATCAATGTGGGCATCCAAGAATAGCTAATTGTTACTACGTACTGTACATGCGTACCAATGATCTCGACATTATTTCTTTTAATAATTACGGTAATCTTTTTAAGAATTTATTCTACGAATACTTTGTCATATATATGCGTTCTGACAGTGAAATTACATCAACCGAGAAATTGATTATTAAACCATTATTTTTATGTAATGTTTATACTGTATTTCATTAATCCCTTAATTTTTAATAAAATATTTATTACAAATCATACAAATTCTAATCATACATTTTGTACATTTGTACATTTTGATAAAAACAAAGAACGCACGTCGATTATGCATTAATACGCTAACCTACAACGGAAGTTTATAACGGAATACGATAACGAAGTTTACAACGGGAAAGCTTACAACGGTAATTCTACGATGGGAATTCGGCAATGAAAGTCTATAATGAAAGTCTATAACGAAATTCTTCAACAAAATTCTTCAATAATGAATGTTTATAGTAAAAAAAGCATCTTTTCAAAGAATTGATTAACCCTATATTAAAAATTCATAGTTTCATAATTAATTTGGTATATACTCGACTTTAGTGAAAATGAAAAAAAAAACCACACACATTAACTCTCATTTATTTTTCATACTAACGATGTATGTAAATATCTTAAAAAAAAAAACAAGAAAAAAATAATAATATATATTAATATAATGGAGTAATTTTCTCCCTTAACACAAAACGCAATAAAAAAGCATGTATGTAATTCATATTATTTTGCTTACATAAAAAAAAAAAATAAATCCTCAAAATGACTTGCCCAAAAATAAATCTAATTCCGAAAATGTGTTTGAGTAATTCAGGAGTTTTACATTCGATTAGTGAACTCAAAATTATATATTTTTATGCAAAATGTTGCTGAATAACTTGAGCCCAAAGAGTATCTTCTGTCTCGAATCTGTTTCTTAAACATTTAAATCTTGTTTTTTTTTTTTTTTTTTTTCAAAAGAATGAAATGATCTTATCATACCTCGCATCACATCGCATTGCATTACATTTTGTTTTAATCATGCAATTCGGTCAGCCCGAATATATTATAAAGCTTTTTTTCTTAATTCTCTTCCAAATTAAGGTAACTTTCGTATCAACTAAGTATAACAGATAATAATAATTCTTATTACTATTAAATAATATCAAAATCATGATATATATATATGATATATATGCATCTCTTTTATTTAATTATACGATCTTTTTGTCTATTTCCCAAGGTCGGATGTAACCTCCCATATTTGATTTTATTATTAAACTTTTTTTGGATGTACTAAAATCAATAATAATAAAGATAAATACTATTAGATATTACACAAACTTGATGTACGTTTTTTTTTACATGACAATAATTTCGACTCTATACATAATATGTATATGTACTACTGAAACAATCATAGCTTCGCAAGATTGCAATTAGGATGCCCACCCTTTGATAGCTAGGCAATTCGGATGTTCTATAGATTAAGTGGGAAAACTCCGCTAAACTCCGCTGAATATATTAAACTATTATTATTGATTACTAATCATTAGAGAAGCTTATTTCTTATATTGCCCACCTATTCTATAGAACATTCGGCAATTCTCACTGTTTACTACATATAATAAAATCAATTAAGTAAACAATATTATTAAAATCGTTGAATTTGTTATATAATTTAAAATTCCTACGGTATATCGATACATATAATATACAGTACATATTAGCTTTTAGAACTTTGTGTAAAGAATAATACTTAATTTAATTACAATTTTGAAATTGGGAAATTATCTTATTTATCTTATGTAAACAGATTATTGGAAGTCTTCCTCATCACGAGTACATGCATCTAGTCCTGTAAAACAACTCTTTTTCGGGACTTAAGAGACGTTGTTGTACCAAAATGGTTACATAGTTTCGAACATCCAATTAAACATTTTTTAATTTTTCATAGATTTATTCCAAATGTGAAGGTTGGTTTAATAATTCACAACGCATTTATGTATTAAAATTATGCAGAAGTGCCTGTTTAACTTTGTGAAACCGGGATGTGAACGCGGCAAGAAATATATTTGTGCAAATGATAAAGAGGAGAGCCCAGAGATTTTTCGAAAAAAAAAAAAAAAAATCAAATATACGGTATTTAATGCCAGTTATACTGGTTTCCCACCGAACCCATAGTAATCGACACGAAAGATTTTAATACATTAAATTTTGTTTATTTAGCTACCTTATTGAAGTCCATTTTCATATTCATTAAGGATAGAAATTAATTATTGTCTCTGCGGTAGCTTGTGATAAAAATTTAATTCGCACTTCAACATAGTTCAATAAAGTAATATGTATTAATGAAATGTTTTTTAGCAGTATTTCACGGATTAATTTAGATTTTGTTAATAATTAAGAAGGATAAATACGCGTTTATTGATATGGTTTTCATAAGACCCTAGCTAGTATCGCGTATTAATTAAAAGCACTATTGATTTTATTATCTTTGCTTTTTACTTATATTTAACTTTTTAATTTATTATATCATTGACTTACTTATTGTTACTAAGTTATATTTTCTCCTCATACGATATATAACTTTGAATAATTATTTCATAATTTATGCCTTTACACCTCTAGCAATTCCAGGCAAATTTGCCTACACAGATACCCAATCATCTTAATCAAACATCACGTTTTTGACACCAAAAATTTTATACATAATACATTTTAATTTAGTCTTATCGATAAATTATATTGATAATTATTACAAATATTTAAACTCCGTCATGTATTTTGCACTTTTCATAGTGAATAATCATGTGACTTCCGAAGGCCACAAGACGTTGTAAAGGATAATAATTATATACAACAGGTAAAACTCACGAGCTAGTAAAATCCGCTTTTAAATAAATTAT